ACAGGAAAAAATAGAAAAAGTTAGACTTGGAATCAGACGAGAACATACATAAATGTGCGCAATGTCTATGCAAACAATTTCGGACTGGGCCCACTCTGGTCTTCTCCGAGGGTACGAAGCCCGCAATATTCTTCGACCAGCTAGAATTTAATTAAAATATTAGCGAATGTGATCGAAAAAGCAGCCAGTTACAGTGAACGATCAAATTCGGAAAGGATCGCACGTGAACCGACGACGTGAAAAGATTGGAAAATAGATTTACACTCGAGAAAGGAAAATTCCAGTTTTAATTGCGCCGCTTCCGTGCGGCCGCGTACGCACGCTGTCCGAGATAAAGGAGGATCTGTCGATGCGGCATGGAGGTGCAACGGTTCGCTACACGTGGCTATTGGCCGGGTAAAAAAAAAAAGAAAAAAGACCGGAGAACTAAAACCAGTCGGAAAAGTTGGGCAACCAAAACATTTAAAATGGTTCGATCGGACGGAACAACGGTACGAGAACTTTTTCAAATTGTTCACGGGCCCATAAACGGCAGGCGCGTGTGTATGTGTGTGGAGCGAAAAGAGAGGAGGATACGTATTTAGGGTAGGGGGTTGGGTTCATAGGACCATAGATGCATTACATGCTCGAGATGATGCCTAAGAGAGGCGGTGGCGGCGGTGTACGTAAATACCAACATGCTCAACCCTTAGTTCTGCTTCCGCAAACCGCCGTTTCTACGCCGTGTATTATACTTGCCCCAGAAACATCCTACTACGGCTCGTATGTATATACTCGTGCGGTGGCGCAAATGGCGAACACCTCGGCCAATTTTTTCGTACGCTTGAAACTTGAATTCTCCGATTGCCGACGAACATATGGAATCGTTACGGCTCGGCACGTTCGAGGTTTATTTAATCTTGGTATTTTCTGGAACGAGAACGGAATTCTTGCATTTACTATAACTGAAACCTTTACTATGTAATAAAGATTCCCTGATGATCCGTAACTTTTGCTATCTAAACTTGAACTAATTGAATATAAGCTTATTTTTGCAAATGGGGCCGGAAACATGTTTTCTTGGGTCAAGTTACAATAGTGTAACACAGGGTGTAGACGTTTTACGGTTCGAATGAGAAAATACTGTGATGGTTAAGACGATTTTAGTAAGCATATAAGTTGGCAAGTAAGAAGTCAAGTGACTTGGCGAGAAAAAAGACAAATGAGTAGGCAAGTCAGTTGACAAGTAAGAAGATAAGAGAGCAGGAAAGAAAGCAGGTAGGTAAGAAGACAAGTAAATAGGCAAGTAAGAAGACAGGTGAGTAGACAGATAAGAGTGTAGGTAAGTAAAAAAATAAGTGAGTAGGAAAGTAAATAAGGAGGCAAGAGAGTAGACAAGTGAGTTGGCAAGTAAGAAAATAAGTGAGTAGGAAAGTGAATAGGCAAGCGAGTTTGCAAATAAGAAGCAAAGTGAGTAGGCAATAGAGTAGACAAGTGAGTTAGCACGTAAGAAGACAAGTAAAATCAGTTGACAAGTACGAAAATAATAAGAGGGCGGGTAGGTAAAAAGACAAGTGAGTAGAAAAATACGGAGACAAGTGAGTAGAAAAATACGGAGACAAGTGAGTTGGCAAGTAAGATAAGTGAGTTGGCGAGTAAAAGGACAAGTGAGTTAGCAAGTGTGTAGGCAAGTAAGACAAGTGAGTTAGCAAGTGTGTAGGCAAGTAAGAAGACAAGTGAGTAGGGAAAAGAGTAGGCAAGTGAGTTGGGAAATAAGAAGACAAGTGAGTGGGCAATTAAGAAGTCAAGTGAATAAGCAATTGAATAGGCAAATAAGAAGACAAGTGAATAGGCCAGT